CATCTCTCCCCCTTCACTTCAACGTCGTCATGGACGAGTTCTTGTCATTTCCGGGAAAATTATACGGCATCCTGGGCTATGCGGATGGCCTGGTCCTCATGTCGACTTCTCTTGACGATCAACAACATCTTGTCAGGGTGGTCAACCACATCACTCAAGCAAGAGGCATGCAATTAAACAGTAATAAACTACACCTTCACCAAGAGCCGTGTGTACATTGGCGGTGATCCCTTTCCCCAAATTCGCCCCGAAGAACTATTCAGGTATCTTGGGTTTCGTTTCTACCCTACTGGAACCCAAACGCCCATCTCCACCGACATCTCTACCGCCCTGCAGCGAATCAAGAATGCCCCGTTGAAACCGTGGTAAAAACTGGAACTGGCAACAACTTATCTCCTTCCGAAATTCTTCTATCAGTTTCAGTTCCCCTCTGTATCCCGTGGAGCGCTCGATCTGTTAGACAAGGGCATTCGCCGTACAGTGAAGACGATTCTCCATCTGCTCTCGTCATCGTGCAACGACTTCCTATACGCCGAGATCAAGGGTGGCGGGCTTGGACTTGTTTCGCAGCCCGCATGCCAGACATACTCCTCAAATGGCTACACAACCTCACACTGTGCGACGATCCACAACTCCTTCCCATCCTGGATTCGTCGCACATACTCAAACTAGCCGAACGCCTTGCTAGGTTGCATCGACCGTATGGATCACAGAGGGAACAACGGGGTCTCTGGCGTGACCACACATTACTCGCCGCCACAGGTCATCAACTGGATCCGTTCCCCTCCATCTTTCTGTAACGTCTCCAGCTACATGAAGGTCATCCGTTTTCGAGCTGGGGTTTTACCAACTGTGGGAGGCCTCCACAACCAACGCCTCCTCTTCGAACAACTCCGCTGTAGAGCCGGTTGTCGTGCTGTGGAAACCACCAGCCACATTCTTCAAAAGTGTCTGTTGATCCACTACGAACGAATTACGAACACGACAACCTGGTAGGAATCCTGTCGGATGCTGCTCGAAAAAAGGGCTGGGAAACTAGAACCGAATCGAGGTTCTGGAATTCCGACGGCCGTCTGAGGAACCCGAACCTCCTCTTCGTGAAGGACTCCATCGCCATCATTGCCGATGTTGGCGTTTCATGGGGGCGACCGGAGCTGCTTCACGTCGCACACACCAACAAAATTGCGACGTATTCAAACTCCAATTTTTTGGATACTGTCAAGGCTTCTCTTCCTGGTCGCCCTTTGCATGTACTCGCCCTCATCATGGGAGCTCACGGCACCTGATGCTCCAGGAATAACATTCTTCTGGAAGCCCTAGGTTTGGAAAAATCTATCATCTCCAGCTTCGTCTGCTCCACCATCCGGGGAGGAATATTCTCTCATTCCTTTTTCGACAGGATCGTTTGACAACGATGAGATCCTTCTCCAGCCCGACACCGCAACGTCTAAACACCTAATAATAAAATACGTTGTATAAATAAATCATGCCACTGAGCGTACATTCTCTCCCCTTACCATTACAGTACTTAAAATATATAACAAAGCCGCGGCGGCAACATCTCGGCCGAAATGATTGTAACCTCTCACCAACAAAAACAATAAATCATCCAATAGCCAAATACCTCGTCATCTACTTAGTGACGCGCATGAATGGATTAGCGAGCTTCACTCCCCCCCTTCCCCCTTGGTTGTCACCTTGTCGTGGTGGGGGCACGACCTTTCTAGCGAACGACACCTCAAAAATGCTTGCAAGGCGCTAAGGACAACCAAAACAATGCAATGGATTAATGGACAATGATACAACGAAGGCTACTGCTTCAGCCCTTTAGGATATGGCAGAGGCGGCAGGGATGGGGGTTCCAGAGTCGGTGTGGGGTGTCTGACAGAGCTACCGCCCAAGGAAGGGCTCGTTCATCCGATGGCGAGTTTGACGCTGTAGAGGAACCGTACGCTGAGAAGCCCGAACTTGTAGAGGTTCAGCCCACGGGTACAGTGCACGCACCGGGTTCAAAAACGGCTGTCGAGTTTTCTGTTAGCAAATGAACCACTAGCTTCGCCGGCTCAGGCTATCAATGACTTACCAGTCCACAATATTACTAGTGTAGCTATTCCAATAGTGATAATTTCTAAAATATTTTTCTAAGAAGTGCGCGCAATGCTAAGGCTTATATTTAAGAACACTTTAACAGAAGCATCTACTTACGAAGATACCGAGGAATATTCTCCAAACGGTATTAGAAAAATACTTTATGAATATGAAATATGAACGAGCATATCCGCGATTATATAAAAAAATGTGGAAGATGTCAAATGAACAAGTTAGCCAATATTCAAAATCATCCCATGGTAATTATAGACATTTCTATTCGACCTATGCAAAAGTGCTTTATCGACATCGTTGGACCCTTTCCTTTAACCGAAGTCGGTAACAAGTACATACTGACTTTTCAGGATAATTTAACAAACTACTCAGAGGCAATACCCATTCCAGATTAGGATTTTTCGACTTTTTTCCCCACTACAAAATAAATTAATGAGGGAAAATTGTACCATTAAGCTTAATGGTCAGAAAATTGGTGGGTAAAGCCAAAGGTCCCGGGTTCGATTCCCGGCGAGGGTGTTACAACAGCAACAATTTTCCTGACTAAAGTTAAAAACAATTCGGAAACCTTAATACGCGAGTCCTATTTGTATTTTGTTTGTATTTTTTTTAATGCCTAATCTTTTCTCTCACAGGTTAATTATATGAAAAATGCTTTTTCGATACAAACCTTCTGAAATAACACGCAAAAGAGAAAAACGTACCATCACAGAATTAGAAAACGCCATACGTGAGGTAAAGGAGGGTGCATCTTTAAGAAAAACATCTATTAAGTATCGAATCGATAGAAGTACACTAAGACGTTGAACGAACAAAAATTACAAAAATTTGAAGAAAAAAGCAGTCAATATAAAAAGTCACAAATATTTACTGTTTCTGAAGAAAAACTCCTAGTTGAATATTTACTATCATGCAGTAACATGCATCTAACTAAAAAGCAAGCACTGCAACTGGTAGCTAATCAACAAACAATGCTGATGAAAAAGATGGGTTTCGTGGTTTTCTTTCCAAAAATCCAGAAGTGAATTTAAGAGCACCTGAAGCTGCAAGCTTGTCTCGCGCTACGAGTTTTATAAAAAAATGTTAACGACTTCTTTACAAATTTAAAGAAGGTGCGTGATAATAACAATTTCGATGTTCAAGATATATATAATTGGGACGAAACCGGATGCACGGCTATTTAAGAATTTCAAAAAGTGATAGCCAGTAAGAAGTCAAAACAAGTCGGACAAGTGACATCAGCAGATAGAGGAACCACCGTAACAATTTGTTTCGCCGTCAATGCCATTGGAAACATGATATAAAGAAGGGAGTCTTTATATTTAGAGTAAAATGGGTGAATGTGGAATAGGTCAGGTAATGTGGAATACCATTTTTGCACTAAAACTAGAAGTGTCATCTACATTCTAGTTGCTGTATTAGGTACTACTCTAAGTGTATTTCGAAATAATAATATGTAATCCTATGTTTGTTATAGGTGTCGCTGTGTTTAATCAGAAATGATTTGGCGGGTGGCTGACATTTTGTAGTATCACTATACTGTTTACTGTTACGCATTTGTGGAATATCAATAGGTTTGCTATTGTGGACTATTCCACATAAGCAATTCCATTTAATATGAAAACTTTTTTTTAGAAAAATGCCGTTGCGAACATTAAAGAGCATAAATGGCCAGAACAAGACATGCAGAAGGCAGTTATTGCAGTAAGAGAAAAATAGATGGGATACTAAAAGCAGCAAAACATTTTAACGTTCCTAGAACTACACTTTTTACTTACTGCAGAAAAGGTGACGAAAAAATCGCAAAAGCTAAGCTAGACAGAAAACCTGTTTTGTCTCAAACGTTAGAGAAGGAACTTGTGGAATATGCTGTCCTGATGGATCAACAATTTTTTGGCCTGACAAGGAAAGATATCCGTTCTCTAGCATTTCAATTAGCGAGGTGCAATAATTTACCCAATCGTTTTTCTCTATTGACAGAAACTGCTGGTAAAGACTGGCTGAAGTGACTTTTGCAGAGACATGGAGATACTATCAGAATGAGGAGACCTACTGTGACGTCTGCAGCTCGAGTAGCAGGGTTCAATAAGGAAAATGTCACTGAATTCTTTGACCTACTAGAAGGAATAATGTAGAAAAATAATTTTTCACCTGACCGAATATATAATGTCGATGATTGCGGTCTATGTATTCTTCAGTCGAAATGTCCTCAAGTAATATCGCTAAAAGGGAAAAGGCAGGTCGTAGCTTTAATCTCAGCAGAAAGGAGTTCCCCAGTAACTGTTGTACTGTGCATGAATGCAGCTGGAAGTTATGTTCTACCTATTATGATTTTCCCGCGAAAAAATTCCAATGAACAGTTAAAAGGTGCTCCTCCTGGAACGTTATTCCGCTTTCACCCGCCTGGATGGATACAAACCCATTTATTTACAACGTGGTTCAATCATTTCATTGATAATGTCCGCCCAACTAAGAATAACCCAGTCCTCTTAATCCTTGATGGTCACCACACTCATACGCGAAACCTTGATGTCATTGCTGCTGCCGGAGATAATTATGTAACTATATTGTTTTTACCGCCACACACCACTCACAAATTACAACCGCTTGATAAAACGGTAATGGGCGCACTAAAAATATTCTATAATGAAGAATTTTCTTACGAACATATCTGGGAGCTATGACGAATTTTGACGTCAGTGAGATTTTTGATTGGGCCTATTTGAAGGTTCAGTCTGGCGAAAGAGCCGTTAAGGGATTTGAAGCCACAGGTCTGTTTCCATTAAGAAGAGATGTGTTTGCGGAAGAAGCCTTTGTAGCCTCCTCTCTCTGATCTATATTTGAAAACAGACATTTTGCTATTAGCGGACGTATTTGAAGATTTTAGAAATTTCACAATGACCTATTATGGTTTAGATGCTGCCGAATTTTAACAACACCCAGTCTCGCTTATTCAAGCGCTCTTAAAACAACTAGAGCACGCATAGATTTACTTACAGACATTGAGATGATATTATTTCTTGAAAAGGCAATAAGAGGCGGAATAACTCATTCCGTACATAGGTATGTAATGTCTGGAATTTCATGACACATTTGATTCAAGCGAAAAAGTCAACTACCTAATGTATTGGGACGTGAATTCTCTCTATGGTTATGCCCAATGCCAAGCGTTACCCACGGGTAATTTTCGCTGGTTGTCACCGGACGAAATTGACTATATGGAAATCAAGTTGAAAAGTGGCATTTTCCACAAGTCCGATAATAACTTATCTTATGCTTTGGAGGTTGATTTAGAATATCCGCAACATTTACACACTCAAGATTCTCATATACAATTTCCTTTTTGTGCCGAACATATAACTCCGAAGGAAAGCAATTTGAAAAAATTATGTTGCACATTGAGCAATAAAACTAAATATGTTATTCATTTCGAAAATCTTAAACAATGTTTAAAATTTGGATTGGTGTTAAAAAAAATTCATAGAGTTATTGAATTTAGGCAATCCGATTGGTTGAAAAGTTTTATAGATTTAAATACAGATTTTAGAATGAAAAGCAATAGTGACTTTGAAAAGAATTTATTTAAATTGATCATAAACTCGGTTTTCGGTAAATTTTTAGAACGTGATCGCAATAAAAGAGATATAAAAGTTGTAAACAATTGGCGAGCGGCTTCGAAATTAATTTCGTTACCTCATTTTAAGAGAGTTACTATCTTCAATGAAAATTTAATAGCGGTCGAATTGAAACGGACATGTATTGAAATGAACAAGCCCTTATTTCTCGGGTTCACCATATTAGAATTGTCAAAATTAAAAATGTACGATTTCCATCATGATTATATTCAAAGTAGGATTTCTCCTCACTTTCATCCACAACTTCTTTACATGGATACGGATTCCTTAATTTACCAATTTACGCGAACCGACAGTAATAGTAACACCTCTATTTACGACATTATACGCGAAGACGCGGCATCACATTTCGACACAAGCGATTATCCTATTCACAATAAATGGTGTATACCGCGGGTCAATAAAAAAGTTCCTGGTTTAATGAAAGATGAATTAAAATCCCAAATTTTAACCGAGTTCATAAGTCTCAGACCCAAAATGTATATTATGAAAGTCGATGGTAGAGAAAGAACTGCGAAAGTAAAAGGAGTTTCGCTAAGCGCCAAACGAAAGTTGACATTCGAAGATTTTCAACGATGTCTGTTTGATAATGAAATTTGTTTTTCCGAATTCTCAGGGATACGTTCGCAAAATCATCAAAATTTCAGTTATACTATCAATAAATTAAGTTTATCGTCAAATGATAATAAACGGTTTATTAAAGATAATAAAATAGCTACTTTACCTTGGGGGCATTATTCGTTAAAATCCCTTATGATCTAATTTTATAATGTTCTCACACAACATTATACTTTGTATAATCTTATAGTGTAAGTATTATTGTACTTATCATTTGTTTTTAAAGGAAATGCAATGTATATTAAACATATATCGCTTTCATGATTACTTTTTCAATCAAAGTGTATAAAACAAAGTACCTTTATTTCTTCCTGCGATATCATACAATGTATTCGCATCTAGTAATACTATGTCTATTAAATAAATTGATTGCTTGTATATACCTACATATCGCTTACATGATTACTTTTTTCAATCAAAATGTGCAAAACAAAGTACCTTTATTTCTTCCTGCGATATCATACAATGTATTCGCAAACTGTTTGCTCGTATATGATAAAATGTATATCGGTTATTTGCGCGTGTACTTTTCCAATCGAAGAAAATGTACAAATCATCCTGTCTCACCCTATCTTAGTTTCTTCTCACGAGATCATACATCGCGAATATAAAAGCTCCAACGAAGGATCGCTTCGAGCAAAAATGGATCTACGAGAGTGGGTGCGTGAGCGCCTTCCCCCCGGTTGGCCAGTAAGTTCATTTATTTCTGATTTTTTTTTTAATTTTTTATTCATTTTGTATTGAGTCACTTTTTTAATTTATACTCCTGATCTTTTAGACTTACTGCATTGTATCACCGGGGAGTGAGGTGCCTCCCCCACCCCCTTCCATTTATTTGGGGGTGTGGGAGGGTCACCAAATTTATGGAAAAAGGTATGGCTCGGTCACCTGTATTTGGGTGCTTGCTTGAAAAGCAAGCATCCAAATATTGATAAAGCTCTAGTTCCAGTAAGTTATAAAAGTATCTTTACATCGAGTTGATTTTTAATATGTTTTCTTTTTTCAGATTCCCTACATTCATGAGTTTTTTTTGTTTTTTTTTTAGTTTGTAGTTTGTTTTCTTAGTTTGTAGTTTTATAGTTTTTCTTTTAGTTGTAAAAAAAAATAAAATTATTATTTCCAAATGGATTTGTTTTAATATTCTTTTAGAGTACCCACACCTTTTTTTCTTGTAATGTTTTTTTAGCTGTTCTTCCTGCTAGTGTTTCTTTATACCTATATTAAATAAAACAATATTACTATTATTTATTTTTTCTTCACTCATCAACACAAACCTAATAATAAATATAATGAAATTATAGTTTTACTATGTTTTTTGTGCTCATTGATCATTAGAATAAAAAAGTATTACATCTTTTGGGATATAGAAACCAATTTTCTGTTCTTACAATTTAGGGAGCTAACGGTTCTTCTTACCCTAAAATATGATGTAAGTATTAAAAACTCTGCTTCTTATTTCAGCTGTTGTGTTTTCTGAAAAGGGGATATGTCAGTATTATTATTATTATTCTGTTATTATTATTTCTTTTACTGTTTCAACGTTGATGTCTCAGCTATTAAATACAAGGTCAAGTGCAACAAATATTATTAATTGCATTGTATGCATGTAAGATGACAGACACACATACACACATACACACACACACACACACACGCACACACGCACGCACGCACGCACGCAATTATAGTCAGGTAAATTGGTAATAGAATCCCCGATTAGGAAGTGGCCGGGAGTGATAGCAGAAGGATCGTTTGGATCTGACGAAAGGGGAATGATGGGCCTTGAATTGAGGATTCCTTCTACTTCTATCACGAACGTATTCAGTTCTTCGAAGGTGAGCAGGGCTTCTCCTACGACTCTTCTCATGTGGTACTTGAAGGACTTCACTGCAGCCTCCCATAGACCCCCGAAGTGTGGTGAACGTGCTGGGATGAACTTCTACTCATTGCCTTCTGTGGTAAGGTGTCTTTGTACCTTTCGCTAATGTTCGTCGGAATTAATTTGCTGATAGATTTCCCTTAATTGGTTCTTGGCACCAACGAAGTTAGTTCCATTATCAGAGTGGATGCTGTGGCATCTACCACGACGGGAAATAAACCTTCTGAATGCTGCAATGAATCCTTCGCTGGTAAGGTCACTTACGACCTCTAAATGCACGGCCTTTACTGCAAGGCAAACGAAGATTGCCACATAGACTTTGATTTTTCCACGGTTGCGGTGTTTCTTCTCTTTTATGTGAAACGGCCCACAGTAGTCGACCCCGGTGTGATAGAATGGCCTGGCTTGGGTTACTTGTTCCCTAGGCAATTCTTCCATGGGATAGATTGCCGTTTGTGGGTTTGACCTGATACATCTTATGCACTTATGTGTTATTCGTTTTACTTCGTTACGACCATTCAATGGCCAAAACTTTCTTCTTACAGCATACAACGTGGTTTGGGGTCCTGCATGAAAATGTCTTTCATGAACATTAAGGATGATTAAAGTTGTATACGGATGAGATTGAGGTAAGATAATGGGGTGTTTCTGGTCTAATCAAACACTAGCATTACGGAGTCTTCCTCCCACGCGTATAATTCCTATGTCATCGATGAATGGGCTGAGATGTTTTAGCTTACTTGTCTCTAGTACGTTTTGTTTGTGTCGGAGACTATGGTCTTTTGCAAAATTGATCGTTTGAATTAATTGGATTATCCTATTCTGAGCCATCATTAGTTCCTTTGGAGTAAGTTCACCACTGTAAATGTTATGTGGACTAAGACGCAGGCAGTAGGCAATAGCCCGGTGATGAGTATTAACTGTTTTGAAGTTTCTTATAAGTGTGTCATCTAATTGTTGGAATTTTGTACAAGTTGTAAAACATGTGAATTTCCTTCTTTCTGCGTCTTCGTGTGGTGGAGAGATAATTGAACTTGGCCAATGCGTTTCTGGCAGATTAATCCAAGATGGACCAGATTTCCATAAAGAATTTTTGATAAATTCTTTCGGCGACTGACCTCTGGAGGAAGCATCGGCAGGATTGTCTTCCGAACGTATGTGTGTATAGTAGCCTGGGTTTTGGATTGGATTTCTGCCACTCTATTGGCAACGAACGTTTTTAACTGGTACGTGGGTGTATTGATCCAATGCAGAACGATCGTTGAATCTGACCAGAAAGTAGCACTTGATATTTTAAGGTGTGTGGTTTCCATCACCGTTTCATACAGGTTAGCGAGCATTAATGCGGCACAAAGTTCCAGTCTAGCTAGGCTAACATTTCGTAGTGGAGCAATCTTTGTTTTTGCACATAATAAGTGTGTATGAATATTTGTGGTGGATGTACTGCATCTGACGTACATGCAGGCTCCATAGGCTCGTTCGCTCGCATCTGCGAAACCATGGAGTTGAACATCTAAAACTTCAGGAGGGATCACAAGACGGCGGTATGTAATGTTGTTGACGTTGTTAAATTCTGTCGCGAATGAGTTCCATGCCGATAAGATAATAGCTGGCAGTGGTTGGTCCCATGTTATATGTTGCCGCCAGCATTCCTGAAGAATTAATCGACCAGCTAAGATGATTGGACCCAGTAGGCCCAAAGGGTCGAAGATTTTTGCAACCTCGGAAAGAATTGCTCTCATTGTGACTTCCGTTGGTAGTTTGTCTAGGGTATATACTATGGTGTTTGATTGAGATTGCCAATAAATGCCTAGAGTTTTCAACATTGGATTCACATCGATTTGCAGGTTTTTGTTAATGCGATCGTCTGGGATTCCTTCCAGTAGACGTCGGTCATTCGAGGCCCATTTTTGTACTTTAAATCCGCCACTCTGAAGCAGGTTGTTTACTTCATCGCGGAGTTGTACAGCTTCTTCTATAGTATTTGCACCACTGATGAGGTCATCAACGTACATATCACGTTTCAGAAGTTGTGAAGCTAATGGATATTTGTCCCTTCCAGCGTCTGCTAGATGTGTGAGAGTGCGTATCGCAAGGAAAGGAGCTGCGGCTAAGCCGAATGTGACTGTCTTTAGTTGATAGTCTTTAATGGTTCCAGACTTATCTCTCCATAAAATTTTCTGATATTTTCGATCTTGTGGCCGAACCCAAATCTGACGATACATTTTTTCGATATCGCCACAAATCGCAATCGAATGTAATCGGAATCGCATAAGGTGGGGAAAAGATGGTGTCTTGAATAGTCGGTCCCACCATAAGAGTTTCATTTAGAGAAATCCCTGAAGTAGACTTCGCCGATCCGTCAAAGACAACTCGTGTTTTTGTGGTTAAACTGTCTTCTTTGATGACGGCGTGGTGAGGGAGATAAAAGCCCTCAGAACCACGTGAGTTTTCTGGTGAACATTCCAAGTGTACCATGTTGAGATATTCTTGAATTACATTGGAATATTCCTTTTTAAAGTTTGGTTGCTTCTTAAACTTGTTTTCGAGTGTTCGTAACCGAATGAAAGCGCGCTCTCGAGATTCTCCTAGCAGCGGTTTTTTGGAATTGAATGGCAGTGCCACCATGAATTTTCGATCTGAACATCTCGTAGTATTATTTCGATAATGGATTTCACAAGCGGTTTCTTCTTCGGATAAGCGGTTTATCTTGGGTCCTTCTTCAATTGCCCATATTTTGCAGAGTTGTTCAAGAGCTTGCGTGGTAGTTACATGACAGTGTTCTTGAGTTTGTCTTTGGGTGTTGTCAGATTTGTTTGGCATAGGTATTGCGCCACCGATAACCCAACCAAAATGGGTATTTTGCATGAAAAGGTCCGGTCTATTTGCTATAGATAATTTTCTTTGTCCAGGAATAAATGTTGAAAGTGCTGGCCCTGCCCCAATTAGCATGTCGATATTTCCTGGCATATGGAACGTCGGATCAGCTAGATTAATGTTTGATGGAAGTTTGACTGCACTTCTGTCAATAAGATTTGATGGATGGTTTGTAGTTATTTCCGGGACCATGAACAGATCTAGTTTTTTCTGAAAGTTACTGTGCCTGGATTGAATAATTGCTGTAATTTTGCATGAGGTTGATGTTTGAATTCCACCAAGTCCACTAACTGTCAAACTGTATTGGTGGTGTGGAAGGTCAAGAGTCTTAGCTAATCTTTGAGTAATAAGGTTAGATGTAGATGCAGTATCGAGTAATGTTCTGCAGCGAATAGGACGCCCCTTCTTGTCAATGGCGTTCACTAGAGCCGTAACCATAACTTCTTCGATCTTACCTCTGTTTAGCAAGACTACACTAGTTTGATGATCTTCTTTAGCATTTGATTTATTGAGGTGAAGGGTAGTATGATGCGGCTTACCACATTTTAGACAATTTCCACTTCTGCATTCTTCAGTGTGATGATTAGCACGTAGACAGTTAAAGCATATGTTAGCTTGCTTTACTGCATTTATGTGTTGCGGAACTGACATGTTAAGTAGTTTCTCACATCTAAAGGTTGGATGGCCATTTTGTTTGCAAATTGGACAGTTTTTAAATATTGACGGAGTTAGCACTTGTTTAGGTTTTTGGTGTTTATTCCTTCCTGTTGATACGAACATGTTTACTTTGGTGTAGTTTGAATCGATTCCACTTCTGGTTGTGGTTTGTGTTTTCATAGCTTCTTCTCTCAGGAATGTGATTAAATCCTCGAATGTTCGTCGTGCCGTACCTGATTTCTTTCGGTACCACTCGCATTTTGTTGTACTATCTAACTTCGAGATAGTGTGATAAAGTAACGGTGTGTCCCATTTGTCTGTTGGTTCTCCCAAAACCTTCATTCCACGTACATGAACTAAAGTTTCGTTGATTAGTTGACGCAATGAATCACCTGAGTTAATTTGAAGTTTGGGTATTGAACAAGTACTTCGAAGTGACGAGAAATTATAGCTTCCTCGTTGTTGTAGGTTGATTCTAGGAGATCCCACGCTTCGTTGTAGTTTTCGTTAGTTGCTTCCAACGCGGTAATGGTCTTTGCTGCTTCTCCAGTTAAAGTTTCATGTAAATACGATAACCGCATGCAGTCGGTTATCCCTTCACGATTGTGTATGGTAGAAATAAACCAGTGAGAAAATGA